TATTAACTGTTGATGATGACATGTATAGTATTCTCAACTGGATTGGTCTGCGAAGTATTTCATGATGGGCAAAGTATTTTTACAAGCAAAATGAGAAATAGCAATTGACTGTTTTATAAAAATAATTAGAATAATAAAGATAATGATTGGGGAAAACAGAAAAGATATGGAATGTTGAAGTGGGGAGATTAATGTCTATGCACTGACTGACGTGCATGGCATTCCCTTTTGAAGAAACAATGTAATACACTAAAAAAAAAAAAAAGAAATGGAAGATTATTTGCTGACAATAACATGTTTGTTGCTGTGCTTAATTGAGACAATATACAGTGTACTCTGGATGGAAAATCTCATTTTGTATGCTATAATGATGTACAGTGAATGAATGCAAATAAATAAATTGGGGAGAAAAAAAAAAAAAAAACTCACGCCAATGCGTGTCCAAGATCCCGAGAGGAGAATGGAGGAGAAAGGACTGCGGCATGGCTATCCCCTCTGGGGGGTGATTTCTCGCTGCCTCTCTGTCTCTGTCTGTCTGGCGAATGCACGTGCACTATAGCAAAAACCTCTCCAAAAAAGAAAAATTCTAAGCTGAGCCAGCTGGTGGCATGGTGGTTAAACTGGCTGGATCCCATATGGCCAACTGCACAGTTCAAGTCCTAAACGTGGCAGCTTTAGACTCGCCGGGTGCATGTGCATGCCGCTCAAAACTGTAATGAGAATGGAAAAGAGAGTGTGGCGTGGTTATGCCCCATGAGGTGTGCCTTCTCACTCTCTCTGTCTCTCTCTGGCTAATGTGCATGACCTATGTAAAATTGAAAAGAAAATAAATGTTCCAGCCAAATGAGCACGCATGCCCAAAATCCCTACAAAATGAAAAAAATGGAGAAGAGATTGCAGCATGACTGTACCATACTGGGAAGTGATTGCTCTCTTCTTCTATCTTATCCTCTAACAACTTTAAAATAAAAGTGAGCCCGCATGGTGGTTAATATAGGTTCCACATGGCCAACTGTGCAGGTGGGTCTCACTCCTAGCATCTGGAGAAATAAACCAAGAGCTTGTGCGTGTGTGACCAAAATCATTTCTAAGAAAGATTTTTGATATAGGGCATGTGCACTCACCCGAAAGAGACAGAAAGTGAGAAATCACTCCCCTCAAGGGGGTGGCCACACTGCAATCCTTTCTCCATTCTCCTGTCAGGATTTTGGGTACGCACACACATGCACCCAGCCTGAGTTTTAAGCTGCTAGGTTTGGAATTCAAATCACGATCGACTACATGGGATTCCAGTGACATAATCATTATGCCATCTGCTGGTCCCAAGGAGTCCAAAATCTTGCGAAGAGAATGGAGGAGAAAGGACTGTGGTGTGGCCAACCCCTGGGGGGCTTTCTCACTCTCTTTCCTTACACCCCTCATCTCTTGGCAAGCACACACCTCTTGTAGCAAAGTTACAAAAAAAAAATCATTAAAAATTAAATTTTGGGATCAACAGATGGTGTAATGGCTACATTGCTGGACTCCCACCTTGTCAACCATGATTAAACCATGGACCTGGTGGCTTAACACTCACAGCAGATGCATGTGTATACATGCCCCAAATCCTGAGAATGAAGAAAGGACTGCACTGTGGCCAAGCCCCCAGGGGGTGATTCTCCCTATCTCTCTTTGTCTCCAGTGTACACACGTGCCCTATAGCAAAACTGCTCTTAAAAAAAAATTATTACTAATTAAAATTTAAAAGGCTGGACCAGGCCCGAGGCTTGGTGGTTAAGGCAGCCAGATTCCATATGACCAACTCCACAGTTCCAATCCTGTACCCAGTGGCTTGAGAAACATGCTAGGCACATGTATGTGTACAAACAAAATCTCAGTAAGACGGCAAAGTAAGTAAATAAACAATAATACCAAGTATTTAAAATAATGACAGGGGCTGGCAGGTGGTGTGGTGATTAAGGGCGCTGGATTCCCACATGGGTGACCACAGTTCGAGTCCCGGACATAGAGGCTTGCTTTCTTACTTTCTCTCTCTCTCTCTGTCTCCCTCTGATCAAATTAAAATAAATAAGTAAATACAATTAAATAATTCTTTAAAATAAATAAATAAATAAAATAATGACCAAGAAAATTCTTCCTCCGGGGTCAGCAAATGGCACGAACAGTAAGATGCCTGGATTACAGATCTAAAATGGCAAGCACAGGTTATGTCCTGGGACCAGCATGTGTGCGTGCAGCCCAAAATCTTGAGAGGAGAATGGAAGATGAGGGATTGAGGCATGCCCATCCTCCCTGGGGGGTATTTCTCTCTCTCTCTCTCTCTCTCTCTCTCTCTCTCTCTCCCTCCCTCTTTCTTTCTCTGTCTCCAATGAGCACACATCTCATATAGCAAAAACTAAAAAAAAAAAAAAAATCTTCCTCCAAATGAATTAATAAAACAGAAACGAGGGCCAGACTATGGCCTGGTGGTTGGGGCAGCTAGACCCCACATGACCGACCATGCGGTTTGAGCCCCAGACCTGATGGCCTGGACACACCCTGGCCTCTATACTTGAAAGGAGAGGGAAGTGCAGGTGCAGGCTGTTGGCGTAACCACGCCCATTGGGGCGCTTTCTTGCCCCCCCACCTTCCTGCAAGCACACAAGCACTCTGGCAAAAAAAAGTAAAGTAACATAAATAAAAGCAAACTGCTCCGTTCGAAGTAAGACTTTCTAAAATGGGCACGGGGGCCGACCAGTAGTATGGTACTTACAGCAGCTAGATCCCACACGGGTGACCACAGCTCAAGTCCTGCACTCAGTGGCTTAGAGAACATGCTAAGCATGTGTGTGCATGCCCAACACCCCAAAAGGAGGAAGTGGAAGTGAAGGGACTGCATCATGACTATTCCCTATGGGGGGTGCTTTCTCACTTTCTCTGTTTCTCTCTCTACAGAGAACACGTGTACACTCTGGTAATTTTTTTTTTTTTTTGAGAGATTTTTGCTATAGGGCGCATGCGCTCACCAGAAAGACAGAAACAAAGAGACGGAAAGTGAGAAATCACCCCCCAGAGAGGATGGCCATGCCGCAATCCCTTCTCCATTCTCCTCTCAGGGTCTTAGGCACGTACACACATGTGCCAGGCGTGAGCTTAAGCTACCAGGTCCAGAACTGGAACCACGGTTGACTACATGGGGTCCAGCGATCTATATAGCCATTATGCCAACTGCTAGTCCCCTCCCTGGCAAAATTTTAAAAACAGATAAAGAATTAAATCTGGGGGGACCAGCAGTTAGCATAATGGCTATGTCGCTGGACTTCCACGTAGTCGACCTCGGTTCGCATCCTGGACCCCGTGGCTTAAAACTCACACCGCGCACGTGTGCGTGCGTGCCCAAGATCCCA